TGTGTGTGTGTGTGTGTGTGTGTGCAGGATTTCCCCTGGAGTGGTCGTCGTCTGGGTCGGTGTGCTGTGGTTGGCAGTGGTGGGATTCTGAAGAACAGCAGCTGTGGACGTGAGATCGACAGCGCAAACTTCGTCATACGGTAAACACATCCCATCATGCCTTGCTCCTCACTGACTGTGATTGTGTGCTCAAACGGAGTGATTTCAGTGGACCAGAAAATCCCACAGACACACATTGAAAGAGGAACCCGAGGCTCATCCACAGACCAGAAAATCAGAGAGACTCTTTCTATTAAAACAGAATTCAACTGTTGGGCATTGACTAGTTTTTTTTACAGCAGCTTTGAAACCCTGAAACAGCTGCGGTCTGAATAGTTTAAACCATTCATGGCTCTAGTGTGTTATAGTTACACACGTGAACCGTCTCTTATCTGCTGAGGAGCTCAGTGTCCCGTCTTCACGCGGTTGGCACAGGGTCCATTACTGTTTCCATTAAAACCAATACAATTCCCATCATAACCAGTACATCCATAACAAATTTTGTGATGGTGTCTATTGTTTTGTTTTGTTTTTTCAACAGGAACTTTTGATTTTAATACTGTATTAGTTCTGTCTGCAATAGCGCAATGGAACGCACTGATAGCCTATCATGTATGTTAGGGGTATACCTATTCTATTATTTTTTCGGCTCTGACGCCGGTAGCCTAGTGTGCAGCGCGTTGACATACAGCGCCGTTGCGTTTCGGGCGTCCCGAGTTCGAAACCCGGCTCACGGACCTTTTCTAATCTCGCCCCTATCTCTCTCCCACTTCGCTTTCTGTCCTCTCTACACTGTTCTATCAAAGGCAAAAAAGATTTAAAAAATCAATCTTTAATTTAACAGACAAATGACCAAACCATATTGTAAAAGCATAACATATATTCAATATATATGTGCAATAATATATTCAATAGCTGATCTAACAGCAACATGATACTTTTATCCACCCCACAGACACCAAGCCTCTGCAAAAAGTGCAAAAGCTGACAAGCTTGTGCACAAACACTCCACTTGATGGCCCCATCGTAGCTGAGAATCAAAGTAAATCCCTAAATACTTATGATGTTACCTGCTGCTTCCTCATCATGGTCAAAGACTATTTCTTTAGTTCTTTTTTTTTTTTACATTCATCAAATTATGTTCCTTACTGCACAATGCTTCTGTCTCTGATTTATGCTGAACATAACCATATCCGAATCGATCGAGAAATTAATGATACAGGCCTACTTGCTTGTATATTCGTGCAGTCATGTGCATTATGAAGGAAGGGAACTTACACAGACGTTAGGAGCTTGAGGAACTTAAAAATAACGCTACTTAGGTCTACAAACATTTAATTATTTATTTGTGCTAAACCCGTGCGCTCTTTCATCGCCGCTCGCGAAATCCGTTCCGTCCATTTCTCTCATTGAACCTTTTTCTGAGCATCTTTCCGAGGTCTTCATGTCAGATTTCTCCTCAGGACCGGCACAATTACATGAGCAGATGACCGCTGTCTCATAATGGAAATAATACAGATGCTAACTAATTGCGTGCTCACTATAAAACGCTTTTATTGCATCAAGACTTTACCCTTTAGCTTTTTGTTATCACAGAAATCATACTGTAATGCACTGTAAAAAATGTACTGGTGATTGTTCATTATTCGTTAGTTTTGCAGACATTTCCAATAACCCTCCTTCAAAAAATATGGAAAATGCCTTCGTATTAATACAGTACACTGTACCCTGATTTTACTGATTTTAGAGTGTGTTTAATTGCATGTGAGACAGATGAATGTAGTCAGATTTTTACACTAATATCTGGATTATAGTTACTGACTTAATTACTGGAAATATATTATGGAAATTTAAAATGGTTATATCCGAGGAAATATGGGCTATTTTTCTACTTAGCTGTAAAATAGCCTATTTTACCACTTTTCTGTATTCCAAGAAGCCTGTGTTTACATGTATTATTGAATGTGTTTCCTTTTTTAGTTACTTTTGGTGCAGTAAATAATTTCAAATAGTTTTTTGTTGTTCTTGTCTAAGACATCAGGAAGAATCCTATAAATGTATTTCAAAAATATACGAAATCAAATCATTAAATTAATATATTTAATTGTCAATCGAATTTAATCTTTCTGAATTTGCATAAATTGAAACGGAAGCTCTAGCATCATCTATACGTGTGAATATTATGTGAACACATATATGTTGCTTTGGTGCTTCGACTTTCAACTTCGCACCCGCAGAAATTAACTTTAGCCTATATACAACCCGATCTTATCTACCAATAAATCATATAATGTGTACACATTTTGTCTAAGAGAAACTGGTAGTCTACATCGTCGAGAATTCTTTTTCTTTTAAAAACGCGTTGTAAAGCCTACGTTTTGTTACATTTTAGTTGTGCTTTATTCATCTATAGGACAACTCTTTAAGTTCGCGCGCCACAATTTAATAAAAAACGATACAGAATGGCGAGATACTGAACATGTCAGCTTGTTGGAGAAGTTAAAGTGTGTTTTGTGTCTTACTCGGAATATTTTCTGCGTAGTTTCGAGTAAATGAAACTAGATAGAGAGCAGCTCAAGCGCTTCTAACTAGACAGTAGCCTACCATTTATATCTGTGTAAATACATAAACAAATAAACATATTCCTGAAATTAAGAATTAGGAATAAATATCCGCCTATAGGCTACTCTTAATTTAGAATTGGTTTTCCCAAATTCGTGTGTATTGGCTATCATGTGTTTAAATTGGTTTGAAATGATTTACAGTGTGTTTGAACTGCATCCCAAATCTTCGAAATGTTGGGCTACTTTTGTTGTCTTCCGTGTTTTTGGGCTCTTCAACAGTCAAGAAGGAGCACGAGGAGTATTGATATTAATCAAAATCTTTATATTAAATGGAATTTGGCTTGTTCTCTGAACGTTCAAAACGTCCAAAAAATGTTTTAAAACTTGTTTTAATGGGAATGTCAAGGGGGCATTCAAATGTATCGTTTTGCAAATATGTTCATGAACATTCTGAAAATAGTAACTTTCAAAAACTAGATACGATGACTTTGAAGGAGCGTTCTGTTAACATTTCTGAAAGAACGTGTGCTCATAACAGAACCACTGTTTTATATCAAACAAAACCACACAAGTTTATGATTATAAAATATTTCTACCTTCGGGAAATCCTCTCATCAACACCAGTCTCGACAAAGACACCAAAACTAGGCTACTTCAATACATAGAAGCATTTTCTTGGTCAAAATTGCACAACACAAATTACAAGGTCATTGTTTATGAACTGGGTTACAGAGGCGTTTTGAGAGGGGCGGGGTTATGAGTGCGGGGGGTGGTGTCGCCTTTAACCCCTCAATCACACACACACACACACACACACACACACACTCACACTCGTTCATTTGTTTCTCTGATGGCATTGGCGTTTCTCCGGTGGATCCTCAGGATCCTGATGGTCCTGATCGTCTTTCAGGGTGTGTTTGTGATGTTTTATTACACACTCAACACACACTCATCCAGGTGAACATTTACATTTAATTCATTATTTCGAATTTAAATCAGGCTCAGTGTTTCTCAAGTCTAACTGTTATAAAATCTGAATCGTTAGTTTATCGTCTTCATAAGTGATTTATTGTTTGTTGCCTACATTATTTCCATTAATGATATTGTGTGCTTGCTGTCATAAAGTTGTTCAGATGTTTTCGATGGGGTTTTATTGTTACATTGTGTTTTAAATGTAATTTTTAGGTCGAAACGTTATTGCCGTTTTAATCGGGACAGAAATGTTTTAGATTTAGATGAAATATAGATTGATTTGTTCAGGACTGGAGCGTCAGAGATAAGATTGTTCAGCAATGCATCGTAAAGTTTGTACGCAGGTGTTTCGTTCTCTAGAGCTCTGCTTCATTTCTGGAATCCTTCAGTTTGCTGTTGTGAAAATACGATGTTTAAACTATTTGTCTTCAATTAATTCCGCACTCAAGTCACATCTAATCAGTGTTGTGGGTAACGCATTACAAGTAACGTGAGTTACGTAATCAGATTCCAGTTCAACCATACTAATAAGCAAAAATGACTTTAGAGAAACTAACAATTGTGCTTGTTTTTTTTTAATTGCTGAAGAGTGTTTCTTCTCCCGTGTTAAGCAATATTGTAACGCATTTACTTTTAAAAGTAACTTTCCCCAACACTGCATCTAAATGACTGGACGTTTTGAAAAACATTCATAACAAACGTTCTCCGAACATATTTCTGTTCGCTGGACGAGTGAGATTCTTATGTTGTTTTATCAGTAAATCCGAGCACTGACGTAACAAATCGCTTTTTTGTTCAGATGGAATGTAGTGTGCTTTTAAATGGGATTGGTGAGTTATTCATCAGCAGTGATGCTTTACATTTTGTTACTGAATCAACATTCCTATCAGGATCAGGCCTAGAGGAAAATATTAGTAGTTGTTGTAATACCCTGTTGTGCATCTTGTTATTCAAGGAACTCTGCTCCACCTAAATCATGTCAAGGTAACAACAGAAGTGATTTAAAGTCTTATTCAAAAGAGGAAAAACTTATGACGGAACGCTTGATTTTGAGTCATGTTTTGTAGAAAAGAACCCAGAAACATAAACCAGGTTGAACCTGTAAAACAGGACCTACAGGCACAACTGACAGGCTGACGTCTGAAAAATAGTATTAAAATATCTAATTTTTAAACTTGTTTATTGAACTTTTAGACAAATGTTTGCATGTGTTTTTTGTTTTGTATCATATCTGATAACTCGCGGTTTTATGGCTTATAGTGTCTGATACTTTGAGAACATGGTGGGGGGGAAAAACACTTCAGACTCAAACTGAGCAAAATATGAATTTGCTTCAGATGCTGATATTTGATGAGATTCTGATGCTTGTGATGTAAATCAATGAGATATTTCTAACAGTAGAGCAGATACTGACATAAAATGCTATAAATATCAGTCGTCTCTATATCTGCAGTAATCTGTCTCAGTAAAATGAGATTGAAACGATCCAAACATATAATGCAGTGATTGAGAGCTGAAGAAATAAAGGCTCCTCAGAAGATGTGAGATGTTCTGGAGGCTTGTGAAGATCATTCCTCCGCTGAGGAACAGTGAAAGTAAAGCTTCTGGAAACAAACGCTCCTCAAAAGATCCTGAGGATCAGATTTGAGACTCTAAAACATGATTGATGGAGAATCAAGTAAAGCTGAGCTGCTTCAGTCCAGTAAGTGTTCATCTGGAGATATTACTGCAGTTATTCTGACCTTTACTTGATTAAAATCAGTCAAGATCTGACACGAGAAGCGTTTCTACAATTACACTAAAAGAGCTTTTACTGGATAAAACACTCTAAACTATCAATCAGAAGACATGAGGAGATTGAGTGTGGCAGCAAAGATTGATCATGTGGATCATTTAGAGGCTTAGAAATTCAATCAATTTCAAATATGATACAGTGGCTTTGAAAACTCTGTGTTTTCTTTCAGTGATGGGACGGACACGCTTCAGCTGCTGCGCTGCGCTAAACTCAGACACAAGTTTTCTATTGTTAAACCGGCCAAAAGGTGCGTGAGAATCCAGATCAAGCAGCATTCTTTCTGTTTCAGAGCATTGAAAGTGTTTGTTTCCTTCTCAGTTTAAAGCTGGAGAGCTTCACGCAGGAGCTGTCAGATTTCATGAGCTGCCCGTACAAATCAAACACAACCGAGCGCGAGCTGAACAGGTTCGTGTGTCTTTATTTTATTTGCCTTGGGCAGATGCTTTATTGCATCACTGTGTGATGTAAAACTTTGAAGTTGCATATTCCTTTATTATCGTCATCTCTCAGGGAAGTTGTCAAGCTACACTGTCATTTGAAACATAAATAGGGTCAAATAGGGTTAATTCTGAAATCTTCTGAAATGTCAGTGATGCAGATTCAGTATTTATGTGAGATTTTGTATCTGTGTAATTTTATTTAAGCTTATTTATTGATACTGACGGTTCCACGAAGAACCTTTAACATACATGGAATATTTCCATTGCACAGAAATATATTTAATAGTGAAAACATTATTTACACTTAGAAAGAAGTGGTTATTTTAAGCAATGTTCACTGAAAGGTTTTTTTAGGGAACCAATTTTGTGTCACTGCTTACAGTTATTGTTGGTACGTGGGTTACAAACACAATTTCGAGCCCGGTCTCATGAAAATGCGTATAAATAGTACGCCAAATAAAAACGAAAACTGGTGGTATTGATAAGCAAAAATGGACTTTGCCATATGCTAATCACGTGTTTTGGCGTGCATAATACCTACGCAGTTTTCGCGTGCATATGATACGAAATTTGTTGGCGTGCATATGATACGCAGTTTTCGCGTACATTTGATACGCATCTACCCCACAGCCCTAATCCTACCCATAGCGTAGCATATACACGCCAAAGTCCATTTTTGTGTATCAATACCACTAGTTTTCGTACAATTTATACGCACTTTCATGAGATCAGGTTACAATTTCATGCTGATTATTTTGGCAGATTGGAGCGCGAGAATTGTATGGTGGCCGAGAAGTGCAAAACAAATCACAATTCTGAAAACAAAATAACAAATTACAAATGCAAATCTAAAAAGCAAAATAACAATTCAGAAAACACAACAGTAATTCTGAAAACATTATAACAAGTCAGAAAACACAATGACAATGAAATGAGGTGTACAGCTCTCCGCTTGCAGCGCGTCAGTCACGCTCGTCAGGAAATGAGTGAAACACACTTTTTTTTAATCAAATAATACGTCATTAATAGCGGTTCACTTCCGTGATTTGGTACGATAGTGTTCATATCAGCAGCAAACCGTATTCACATGAACCGTACCCCAGACCACCCTTTTTAAGCAGACTCGGGTACGGTTCGCGGGTGCGCACCCGAGTTCGGAAGACAGCGTTCACATCATCCAAACGAACCGAACTCTGACATCAATCGAACCCGGGTGAGCACCAAAAGTGCTAGTGTGAAAGCACCCTTAATGCTGTTTGATATAACTCAATTCCAGTTTAATTTTCCTAATAAAAAGGCTGTTCAACTCTTAATATTTTGTATTAATATTCTCCCCTTTAAATTATCTCTGCCCCACAAAAATCCCAATTTAACAC